TGGCTAGAAGCACAGACGATCTCTGTTGTCTTACTGCCAGGTTACTTAAACTGACACTAATTTTGTTTAGACGTGCAGTTATAATCGAGGTGCATAATATAATCAAGTGTGTCTTCGTGTACAGTTTGCATATTTCTATCCAAGTACACATGACAAAATGCTGAATATTTGAAGGATTAAATAGATGTTGCTGATCACCTCTGTATTTTGGAGCATGTTCACAACATCAAGGCCAACTGTACTCTGTCTGACACGCTGACGAAGAAAAGCTACTTCGCAGTATCCAGGTCTGCTGTCTGACAATTTGAAAAAACTATTGCTTTAGTCTGATTTAAACTGAGCTTTTAAAGTGCACGCAAACGCACTTATTGACAAAGCAACTCTTAACATAATAGACTTTAAATCTACTCCAGACTATATCAATAATGAATGAAAGTAACGATAATAGTACAAATAGAGGACATTGGTACTAAGCAACCTAAAGAGCACTTTAAGAAAGTTCAACTTTGTCCTTTTTTTTTCTCAGTTATGTGAATAAAAGACTAAATTAAATTGGTTCAGTGTATAAATCTCTTTGTATAATTGTATAATCTCTTTATGAAATTTTTGAAGCAACCAACGTTTTGGAGTAACAAACTTCTGAGAAATCTCTCAGATTTCAGTAAAAACATCTTTGTGTTTTGACATGAGGGTGGCAATTAATACGTTTTCATTTTTGGGTGAAGTAACCCCAAGTAATTTCTATGGTTATATATTTATATACTTATCATATTTACAAAGTTGTATTAATGTGTAATTCGCAGCTTTTTGTTTGCCCCGCAAATCAGTTCATTGAGAGACTTGTTCTTCACATTAACCTATGATCATCTGTCTGCTGAAGTACCAGAGAACTAGTCAGTAATATGCTGAAAGGTCATTAACTAATCATTATAGTGTCAGACTACACATGACCAAAGTCTCATTCAAGGGAAGTCGGTTCACTCGGCGACCATATTTACAATGACTCCAGGCAGCTACTTTGGGAATGCAAAAGCACTGGTTTTGCATTTTTTCAATGACAAGAAAATTGTAATTAATTGCAGTTCACTTAATTTTTACATTTAATTTTGAAGCGAATTTGCTATACATGACAGCGTTTCGTTTAAATTAATTGTGTGCCATAAAAGCATTTTGAGATTTGAGAAGTGGTCTGCATCTCCTGCATCTCCCTTAAAAGCCACCCGGATAAAAGCTTATTGTTCAAATTAATGCATGGCTCAGACAAACTCTACGTGTGTGTGTAATCATAATACAATTATGAGATAATTATTCCTTCACAAATAAACCTCTCAATGAGTAAAACTGATTGTGTCTATTATTATAGATTTACATTTTAACTATTTTCTAAATAATTTTAAAATGATTATTATTATGTTTTAAATATTTTTCCTGATTTAACTCTTTGGTACTCTTGTAAGAAAAACAGCAGTGGTTGGGACAGAGTTTCAGTATCACCTTCACTTAAAATTATACAATCTAATCCTGTTTATGTGAAATAAGCCTGCTACCGAGCAGATTTGAGCTAATGGACCTGTTGCTTTCACAGCAACTCCGGGATGAGCTTCGAAGAACCTAACAATCCTGGATCACGTCAAATCGTCAACAATAAAATCCAGCTAACCAAGTAATCCATGTACGAAGAACGGACCCCTGTAGTAAACTTTTACACACACGCAGAGTTTTTTTCCTCTTTCTCCTTCCGGTGACACGACCTTGCTCGCGAGTAAAAAGTAAAGTGATTTTATTAATTTGGTGTCTGCTGTTTTCTTTCCTGTGTAACTTAATGTGACAAGCCTGGACATGTGCCAGGGAAATACAAGGAAAACAAAAAGCCCAGGCAACGAATTGGACAGGACAATGGTGGAAGGTCCTATAAGACAACTGAGTCCTGCTATTCATGTCACTGCCTGTAGAGCTGAAGGCTATATGTGGAATCTAGTAACCACTAACCAGGTACTAGATTTGCCTTGAAAATAGGCCACATATGCTGAAACGCCCACAAACGTTGTACACAGAATAACAGAGCATTGTGATGGACAGACATGAAAACCTGCCCTGTCAGTTCAGTGAGCAGCAGAGGGACATTGTGGCTCAGCCACACACAAACAACACAACAACAGAAAAGAAACTCAGAAGTGCAGTGCAAGGGTGTGTTTTCTTGCTCACAAAACCTGTTCTACCACAACGTTAAAAGTTTCATTTCTTTTTTGTTCCTGGTGAAACGGTGATCAAGCTTGACTGCGCATGTGCTGGTGAGCCTGGGGGAATGTGTGCACGCTCATCCAACTGAAAATGACATAAACTGGATTCATGGAAGTATGGCTGACTTTTAACAACCTTTCAGTACTTAGAAGGAAAAGAAATGGAGTGTGTTTGATAATGGCATCATTAAATATAATAATAGCGACATTATATATAAATGTTACTGAATGTGCAAGTAAGTTACTGAAGAGACGAGATGAGGTGGCCTCTTTACTATTAACTGGAGAGGACAGGCTCCCCAGAGCCAATATTCCCTACACCAAACAAGGTTACTGCCTTTCCTCCGGCAAAGATTGGCCTAGTGTCCTAATACCATATCGCAATACATTCAGCGCAACACCAATGCAACATCCACATCAATTCAATTAGGTATGCAGCAGAAAAAATTACTCTCCGCTTCTTGCTTTGATATTTAGGAAGTAATTAGCGCCTTCGCCTTCGTTTTGGCAACTGAATTTGCTGCCGAGTTAATACGAGTTTCACACACACTGTGTTGTGTCTCCTCAAACTGCAGAAAGTCCCTTCTCTAGATTTACTGGAATCAGCTTGAGCTGCATCCCCATACCACACATGCCACACTGATCAGTCCAAGAACAAGAGCAAAGGGGGAAAACAACATATCTAATAACTAAACAGAGAGAGAGAGAGAGAGAGAGAGAGAGAGAGAGAGAGGATGGGAGGACACCTTGACTGAATTTCACTGGCTAAAATTTAATTTGATTCATGAGCACTCACATGATAAGCCAGTAGCCCACATGGCAGGAGGAGAGAGAGGGGGACACATACAGGAACAATCCAGCTCCTAAGGGCTCTACACGATCCCAGCCAAGGAATAAGGGTCTTATCTAGTGAAACGATCTGTCATTTTCTTAAAAACATAAAAATATATATACTTTTCAACCACGAATGCACATCTTGCACTAGCTCCGTGATGCGTGTCTGCAAATTCACGCATTACGTAATCACGTTGGAAAGGTCACACGCGGTTAGTTCTTCATCTGTGTACTCTGGTTTAAAAAGGTAGGGTAGGGCGAAAAACTCCATCTCATTTTGTCCTCCAACTTCAAACTCGTCCAACATCATTGTTTTACCTTTTGTAAAGGGCATTTGACTTTGTTTGCATGTTAGCTTTGTAAACACTGGGTTGGTATTTCCGCCTGCGTCACACGTGACCTTTCCTACGTGACTACGTAATGCGTGAAGTCGAGCTAGTGCAAGACGAGCATTTGTGGTTTAAAAGTATATCAATAAAAAAAAATATATTGTAATTTTTGTTTTTTTTCAAATGACCGATCTTTTCACTAGACAAGACCCTTATTCCTCGGCTGGGATCATGCAGAGCCCTTCGAAGCTGCATTGAAACTGCAATTTGGACCTTCAGCGGCCGTTGGCCACCATTGAAGTCCATTATATGGAGGAAAATCCTGGAATGTTTTCCTCAAAAACCTTTATTTCTTTGTAATCAGTAATCACATTAGTGTAAGGGAACAGAACTGTTTCTAATGTTTCTACATTGTACAACCTATGACTTATGTTTGAACCACTACATGACTGAACTAATATTAAAGGGACAGTTCAGCCAAAGGAACTTAAAATTCTGCCATCATTTACTCACACTCATATCATTCCAAACCCATACGACTTTTGTTCATTTTCAAAACTCAAATGAAGATATATTTAATTAAACCAAAGAGATTTCTATCCCTCCATTTGAAGTCCACGCAACCAAAAATTGACACATAAAAAGTTCATAAAGACACTGTAAAACAATCCATATGAAACGAGCTGTTTAATCCAAGTTGTCTGAAGAAACACGATTGCTGTATATGATGAATAGATTTAATTTAGGGTTTTATTTACATTAAACATTAGATATGGTAAATGGAAGCTTGAACGTCCTTGCTTTTCGCACAATAACCAATAGACCCTAGTCAGAGTATTTAATTTCTGACACGAGGCTGAGGCTGCAAAGGACAGAAGTACAGTGTATTCTATAGATTGTACTGTTGTTTAACAACATATGGAATGTCTAGCTGACAAAACGTCTTTCTGAAAAAGACTTCATAAAACAGTGTTTGTTGTTATTACTATGTGTATAAAACTGTGTGTATGAAAATGGCTACGTTTATGAGGTCTATGAGGTTTGCTTGGCTGCACAGACTTTCAACGGACGGACAACAATGAAAATATTAAAAATATCTTTATTCATGTTCCAAAGATGAACAGAAATACATACGAATTTGGAGCGACATGAGGGTGGGTAATCGACGACAGAATTGATGACATTGAATTTTTGCTTGAAGAACCCATTTATTTGGCATAACAATAATTGACCTTGAAGCTAATTTAGGTGTTTTTACTTTTGCTTTTGGGAATTAGGCTGATGCAAAATATAATCAACATCACAAACTTCAAAATTTAGGCAGAAAAAAAGGAAAACATTTTAATAAATTATTCCATAACATCCCTGGGTACCATGTGTCCCTAGTTATAAGCAACCCAGCAAAAGTATTTTGCCATATTTTATTATAATTTCTGCAAAATTCTGTATAAATAAATCAAATCAAACACACAGTACTTCCATAAACATACATTAGAAAAGACTAAATGATTTTCTGATCATATTGTAGGACTGGTATCGGCTGGTACAATAATAATAAAAAAAAAAGACAGAAAGAAATAAAGAAAAATGAACCGACCATGCTGGTCCCTCCAGACCAGTAGAGGAAGAATCCATCTGGGTCCACTTTAAGGGTGACGAGGGTGGGTATGGCCTCCTGAACACACACAAGTAAAAAAAGCAATTAGGGAGAATTCAGTACATTCATACAGTTTTACCAAAAACATCAGTACTTATAGCCAGAGAGCAGCAGAAATTAAGTCACTTAATGATATGAACAGCATTAGCAACTGACATGAACGCTAATGAAGACTAATCACTGAGAAACAATGACACGGTTTAGAACATTTATTACATAGAAATAATTGTTGCTAATTCAATTGCAACTTAATTAAACTAATACTACGGTAACCAAATCACAGTGGAAGTCATCCAATACTACATATCAATGATGAAAGCCAATAATAAGAAGAAAGGCAAAGACATAATAAGATAGGCAATTAGGCATAAGGATTTGAAAGTAAGTTAGATAAAATGCGAAATGTCCGGAATGGGTGGATGGTCCTGAGGGACAGTGTGATTTAGAAATTCATGTAATGACTGAAACCAAAACCTCAAAAGCCAGAGTGAGACATTAGAGGAGTTTAATGCACAATGCACAGAAGCTGACGGCTGTCTGCGTATGACTGGTATTGCATATTACCAAAATATACACTTGTACTTATTTTCAACTATGTAGTATGTAAACTACACACGGTTATACTACCTTTCAAAAGTTCAGTAAGGCTCAGTAAGATTCTTTTTTTTATGATTCTTTTTAAGAAATAAATACTTTTATTCAGCAAGGGCACATGAAATTTATCAAAAGTGAAAGTACGAGGACCTTCATAATTTCTACATCAAAAAGACTTCTGAACTAAACGTATCACAGTTTTAACAAAAATATTAAGCAGCATTTCATTATGTTTGGGTGACAATGAAAACATCGGCCCCAAAAAATCCTATCGGTGCATCCCTAATCTATCTATCATCTTTATATACTGTATATATAGATAGATAGATAGATAGATAGATAGATAGATAGATTAGGGATGCACCGATTGGATTTTTTGGGGCCGATGTTGATTTTAAGAAACACTTATTGGCCGATTCCGATACCAATACCGATACCGATATTTCTCACTTACTCTCTTATTTGAAATTTTGGCATCAAAATAGATAGTATTTTGTTCATGTTTTAAAGCAGCAAAGTTCGAAAACACCTGCATTAAATTATACTAGCAGTTTTATTGCTGCATCAGCAAATAATTTCTAATGAACATGGATTGGATCCATTTAAAATTCAGCAGGCCTACATAAATACAACAGAACAAAGATACATATTAAATAAACAGTGCTTTTTAGGTAGGTTTAACAGTTTTCAGGTACAGAAATAAAGTAAACAAATGTAAAATAACACTTCACTGTATAAATTAAATACATATTAATCCTCCTTTATTGTAACAGTTCTAATTCGGATTTAAAGTTTGTCCGTTTATTAAGCAAAAGCCATGAGATCTGTTAGGGCTGCACGATTAATCGAATGCGATTGTCATGCGCATTTTGTTAAAAAAGCAGGTTTAGTAATCAGCAGGAAATCATCATCACGTGCTTTCAGATGGAGCACAATTTACTACACATAGCCGTAGTTCACTGACATGTTACGCAAAAAAAAAAAAATTAATAAAATCGCAAACGTTTTTATTGCGCGATTCTGAAATCGAAGAAATCGTTCGCGATAATGACAGCTGTTTGCATAGCTTCTCAGTGAACTACGGCTCTGTGAAGTAAATGCTGCTCTATCTGAAAGCATGTGAAAATACCACATTTAATAACATATTTTTACTCCAAACTCACTTCATAACGTCAGTCGAGTGTTTGAAATAAATCCTTCTGTGAGATGATGTGGCTTCTTACACAGAATAAGGCACGCAACATATTTCATAGTATTTAAGCAGTGATAAAGGCATTGCATTATAAATATACTTTATTTTAATGAAAAAAATTTGATCACAGAACCGTGCTTCACTGAAAGATATGCATGACAATCTCGATTCCATTTCGATTTATCGTGCAGCCCTAATCTGTATATATTAGTTTATTGTTAGTTGTAATAAGTGTTTTGTGTAATTCGCTGTATGTTGATGATAATGCAACGGAGAGAGAGAGTTTAATGTGCATTTCTTGTGCTGTGTTTTGTTTAGCTTTTTTGGAGTGAAAAAGGACTTAATAAAACATCAGTAAAGTTTTGGTCATCATTCAGATGAGGTCAGCTACACTTATGAAAGTTACAAAAGTTATTTAGTCAAGAATAGTGTGCGATCTTTTGTTATTTGATTAGCATTAAAGTGCTGACAGCAGCGCTAGAATTATGCAACAGACATTATACAGCTCAGTGCCTTCACGCAGTTAATTAATAAACCATTGGTTTGTTATATCTGCCTTTTTCCTTATATAGCCTTATATAAGTTGAGGAAAAATCGGCCGATAAATATTGGCGGCCGATACTTCCCTAAGATAGACAGATAGATAGATAGATAGATACAACAATACAGTTAGCCCACAGTTCAATACATACATCAGTTTTAATCAAGGCAATTAAGTATATTTATAACCCATTGCTAATTGACATAGCCTTTATTACAGTATAGAATATATTTTCTGCCTCTTTCTGTGATAAGAAGCCACATCAGATCACAAAAGGAAGCTATTTCAAACATTTGACTCATGTTGTGAAGTAAAAACATGTTATAATGTTCTCTTTTGTTGGACAACAGGTTTAGAAACGCTTCTCATTAAAAGTCATTACAAAGGAAAAGATGGTTGGCATGTGTTGCTTTTTCAAATGCACGACAGAAGCGAGGAGACGTTTCCTCATCTAAGTGCATAAACTCACGGGCACACACAAACAGAGCCAGAGACTCACGGGCAGACAAAAACAGCCAATTCGTAAAGAAATAAAATGCACTGAAATTATTTAAATGCAAAACCAAAAAAAATAAAAAAAGCAATTCACAAGCAGCGCATACTGAACCATGGATGTCGTGGTGGATTATACAAACTTTTGAAATGTTGTGTACATTTGGTCAGGAATCTCAGGATTGATGTCTAAATGCATTTGCCAAAGCCATTAGGCAGAACAAATAGGCTAAACCATTACCATTTTTAATTATTAAATCTCTCATTTATTAACTGGACTGCCAAAAGTTAGAGTATTTCTACATAAAACTGGATTCAATCCAGGTCATAGCCATCTGTTTCAGGTAACACGAAAATGTTGTCGACTCTTATCTTTGTCCCCAAGAGTAAAAACAAAACTCTATTTGCATGTGGAATTAAAATTGCTAAAATTCTTCACTGGTCCATTTACTGAAAACATTTCAAAGACACCTACATCAGAGTACATAATCTTATGGTTTTGGACAATCAGTTAAGTGAAGTGACGTGTGGCCAAGTATGGTGACCCATACTCGGAATTAGTGCTCTGCATTTACCCATCCAAAGTGCACACACACAGCAAGTGAACACACACAAACCATGAACACACACCCGGAGCAGTGGGCAGCCATTTATGCTGCGGCGCCCGGGGAGCAGTTGGGGTTCGGTGCCTTGCTCAAGGGCACCTCAGTCGTGGTATTGCACGTGGGAGAGAGTGCTGTACATTCACCCCCCCCACCTACAATCCCTGCCGGTCCATCTGTTTCAGGTAACACGAAAATGTTGTCGACTCTTATCTTTGTCCCCAAGAGTAAAAACAAAACTCTATTTGCATGTGGAATTAAAATTGCTAAAATTCTTCACTGGTCCATTTACTGAAAACATTTCAAAGACACCTACATCAGAGTACATAATCTTATGGTTTTGGACAATCAGTTAAGTGAAGTGACGTGTGGCCAAGTATGGTGACCCATACTCGGAATTAGTGCTCTGCATTTACCCATCCAAAGTGCACACACACAGCAAGTGAACACACACAAACCATGAACACACACCCGGAGCAGTGGGCAGCCATTTATGCTGCGGCGCCCGGGGAGCAGTTGGGGTTCGGTGCCTTGCTCAAGGGCACCTCAGTCGTGGTATTGCACGTGGGAGAGAGTGCTGTACATTCACTCCCCCCACCTACAATCCCTGCCGGTACGAGACTCGAACCCACACTCTTTGGGTTATGAGTCCGACTCTCTAACCATTAGGCCACGACTTCCCACTTAGTTCCCACTTAGTTAAGAGCTAATCTCATCTGTATGTGTTAGAGGTGAAGTGACATTTGGTTGAGTTATAGAGGCAGTCTTGTGGAATGTTTGCATATGATTAAATTAATCTGGGAGCACAGATTTCCTTTACAACTTCTCTGAAAAACTCCACCCAGTGCTGGGAGATATAAACACACACACACACACACACACACAACAACAACTGTCTCTAAACACAATCAAATACATTTGCATGCTGACTGCTATTAATGTTTGCATAAACAAATATGTTAGTGTTGTGATCCTACTGCTGAATAAGCTTTATTTAAAGCACCGTTTCTTCTCTGTGTGCACAAACCCCTCAAAGACATCAGGTAAGCTGATTATAATATAAAAGACAAAGCTAGAAGGAAAAAAAAGACAAACAGCATATGCGAGAGACAGAAAGAGTAGCGGACCTTAGTCAGGGTAAACAACATATTTCATCTGACATGAATTAAAACAAGGCTATGAAGGATCAAAGCTCAGTGTGTTCAACAGGTTGTACGGTCTTAAAGGGATGGTTCACCCAAAAATGAAAATTCTGTCATTAATTACTCACTCTCATGCTGTCCTAAACCCCTAAGTTTTTCGCTTATCTTCAGAACACAGATGAAGATATTTGTAATGAAATCTGAGTGGTTTCTGTCCCTCTACTGACAGCCTATGCAACTACCACTTTCAAGGCCTAGAAAGTAAGTCAAGTTTGAACCACTGGAGTCACATGGACTACTTCAGTGATGCATTCACTGAAGTAGTCCATGTGACTCCAGTGGTTCAATCTTAATTTTTATGAGGTGATGGGAATGCTTTTTGTGAAATGTTTTTTCTATACAAATGGAAGTCAACGCACATCAAAAGTGTTTGGTTACCAACATTCTTCAAAATG